AGCAGCTGCTCCAGGAGCCGGCCGTCCTCCACGTGGGCGTGGGTGCCCGTGGCGTACACCGTGGCCCCCTCCCGCACCACCACCGGCGTGTTGGTCATGCAGCGGATGACTTTGGGGGCCGGCTGGAACGCCCTGAGCTTCTGTAGGAGAAACCAGCGGGGTGTCCCTCCCAGCCCCGGGCCCAGCCGGGGGTGCTGGCTGAGGGTGAGAACAGGCTCACACACTGGAGCATTTCCTGAGTTCTCACTGGGGGCGGGGCCCACACGCCCATTTCACAGATGGAGAACCCCGGCAAATAGAGGGCCGGAGGCCTGGCCTCTCTGCACACACTCCCGCCCGCTCTCCCCACCTTCTCGATGCTGCTGATGGTGACGCCGGCCGCGCAGGACACCACGATGTGCCGGCTCTCGATGTGGGCGCCGACCTCGTCCAGGATGAAGGGGATGATGTGCGGCTTTACTGCCAGGAAGAGCACGTCGCTGTGCTGCACCGTCTCCTTGTTGTGGGGCGTCAGGTTCACCCCCATTTTCTGTGGGGAGTGCAGGGGCGGGCTCAGCCTGCCCCCGTAGCTGGCCGGACCCCCAGCATCTCTCTCAGCCCAGAGCCACCATGTGGACCCGCACAGAGACTGCTGGGGTGTGGGCATGGCCGGACCCGGGGCTCAGGGAAAGGGACTGTGACACCCCAACCGCCCCTCCCACCCAAAAGAAGAGGAAGCGCCCGGCCGGCGTGGCTCAGTGGTTGAGCATTGACCTATGAACCAGGAGGTCAGGGTTTGATTCTGGTCTGGGCATATGCCCGGGTTGCAGGCTCGATCCCCAGTGTGGGGTGTGCAGGAGGCAGCCGGTCAATGTTTCTTTCTCATCACTGATGTTTCTCTCCCCCTCCCTCCCTTCTCTCTCTCTCTCTCTCTCTCTCTCTCTCCTTCCTCTCTGTCCCAGCCTCGGCCCACCCCACCCTGGGCTGCAGCCCAGCCCCCTGCCCTCTGCTCTGTGGGGTGAGTGGTGGCCCCTAGCTGGGCACTTGCCCACCCTTGGGTCTGGATGTCTAATCAGCTACCGTGAACCCAAACCCTATCAGCCCCAGAAGTGTCTGGCCCGGCCCCACACTGTGGCCCCATTTGTCTGGCCCCCCAGCACCCCTTTCCCGACCATCACCCCCTCTCCACCCGCTGCCCATCACCCAGGTCCCAGAGCAGAGCAGGGTCTGTGAGATACTCGGGCCCAGGGCCCCTCCTCTCACGGTGCCCCCCTGGGGTCACTGCTCCTGGCCCTCCAGGGTCAGGCTGCTCCCCCCCCCATGTCAGATCCCTGACTGGCCCTGTCGCCCAGCACTTACCCTGAGGGCGGAGACGGTGGCCAGGTCCATGTCTGGAGAGCTGGCCATGATCTTGTGGGCGGCCAGGACGCCTGCAGGAACAGTTCCTCCCTCAAGGCCGCTCCCAGGAGGGAGAGCAGAACCCCCACCACCCAGGGTGAGAGCAACCCCGCCCCCCAAACATCTTGGGGCTGCCATGTCCCACAGGCATATTATGGAGAGCCCCCTCCTCCCCCCCCTAAAGAGGGGGGGCGCCCTCCTGGCCGCAGGACCTACCTGCCGCCGTGAAGCCCTTGGCCAGGGCAAAGGCCAGCTGGCCCGCCCCGATGAAGCCCACGCTCATGGCGTCTGACGCGCCCACGGCCCTCGGAGCTGCCCCTTGCGCGGTGGGAACAACTGCGGGGGAGACGGGG